ATATCTCCTGAACAAAACTCTGCATTGGCAACAGGAAGGGCATCCAGCCATTAAAACACTCTGTTAGTTCCATTCAGTTGCCCAGACTCCACCCCACAAGGGTGTCAGGGATTATGGGATCGTTAAAGAAGATGATGATGATACATATGCATATATGGAGAGGGAGGGAGGGAGGGAGGGAGGGAGAGAGAGAGTCAATTCAAAGTGGCAAACATTGTAGAACTCATCAGGGCAAAGCCATGTTTTTCTGGGTCACTTTTGCATTGTTGACTTAATGCTTTGAGTTAGCAGGGAAGATGATTAATAAAGTGAACAACGAAAATGATATCTTGCACATCAAACACTAGGCAAGTGACAATGCCATATGATGCCTCTACAGGTGGAATCCTGCAGATTATATAGCAGATCTGCTTTCAAGGCATTTGCTTGAAATTCTCTCATTAATGTGTTTGCCAAAAGCCACTGCTGTAGTTTGCTGCAGTTCTTTAGAAGGAACATTAAATTAATTATTTAACAATGACTTTGTAATGTTATTTATATTCTTTATAATTCTGGAGAAGAAAACAGAGAAAAGGAGGAACTTTCAATGACAGCCATTTAAAAGTAAATATGAATATTTAAATAAATAAGTAGTGACATTTGATAATATCTTCTAAATGTAGGCTCCATTGAATTCAGTGTGGCTTACTCTCATGTAATAGAATATAGAAAATTATTTTTACTAAACCAACGAATTTTAAATTGTTGATTTAATTGTTTAAATTTTAAGAGCCTTGGTAGTACAGTGGTCTAAAGCACCCTGTTAGTAAGACCAGCTGCCGGCAATTACTGCAGGTTCGAATCTCGCCAGGCTCAAGGTTGACTCAGCCTTCCATCCTTTCTAAGGTAGGTAAATTGAGGACCCAGTTGTGGGGGCAATAAGCTGACTTTGTATAAATATACAAAAAGATGAAGGCTATTGCTTAGCACATTGTAAACTGCCCTGAGTCTCCGGAGAAGGGCGGCATATAAATCAAATTAAAAAAAAAAAAATCCCTAACTATTCTATAACCAATTTTACTTCTCTTTTATCTTAGTTTGGATTCAGGAAATCTTATACCACCACCAACAAGCTTTAACAATGGTTAAAGTGTTATATATGATTTCATTATTACTGCCCGAGTTCTGTGGATATATGAGAAACTATATAAATGGGTTATAAACAAATAAAATGTTCCATCACCATCCTCACCTCCAAAAGGCTCTCTATCTTTATTATAAACAAAGGCTAATAAACTGTAATTTTTATACAGGGTTTATACATTACATTAAATTAATATCACTACAATTTAGCATGATATACAGTATAAACCCTGATAATATCTGTATCTAAAGGAATCATGATATACTCAGTTTTAGAAATCATTTATGTGTTAAATTTCTATACTACTGCCATCTACTAGGGATTCCTGCTTGTTCATTAAAAATCAATATAAAATAAAAACATGGGATATATAATTTTAAAAAAATATAAGGAAAAACATAGGAAACATATTGAAAATCTAAAGAGTTCTCTACTGTAGGTACCATATAAGAGAACTAGCAACAATTTAGAATATGTACATTTCACTGTATTTGAAAAGATTTTCAACGGTATTACATGCTGCTCTGATTTAAAATAAGCTGCACTGATTCCTTTAATTACTGGTTCCTGTTCTACCTACCCACTCAATTGCCCTATCCTTTAGCTCAATGTATCAACATAAACATTCAAGCCAGTTTAATAAATAGGATTTCTGAGTGGCATGTTTTTACAACACTACAATGCTCAGGAGATTACAGAAGTTGAAGTGATGCAATACTAAGTGGTTATGCCACAAGAAAGCATACATATCTATTTTACCAGCATTATGCATTATTTTGACAATAGCCCAATAGCCCAGAAGACAATATCTTCTGTGATGACCATGTCCATGATTGAGAAAGTACCTGAGGGATATGCATATCTTAAGCAGATTTTTTTTTTATCCTGAAATAGCAGTCCCTAAAAACAGAAGGTTAAATTAAGTTAAAAGAGAAAAGATTTATGTGTTTTTTTCAGGGTTAGAATCATAGAATCATAGGGCTGGAAGGAGCTTAGAGGTCTTTTAATACCGCCTGCCCAAGACAGGAGCCCTTATACCATTCTAGACAAATGGTCCAATCTTTTCTTAAAAATCACCAGCAATGGAGCTCCCACAACTCCAGCTTTTCCATTGACTAATTGTTTATCAAAAAGTTTCTTGTTAGTTCCAGATTAGAGCTCCTTCTGACTAGCTTCAAACCATTGCTTCTTGTTCTGCCTTCAGGTACTTTAGAGAACAAATCAACCCCCTCTTCCCTGTGGCAGCCCTTCAAGTATTGGAAGATGTCTGTCATATTGCCGTAAGCTTTCTCTTTGTTAGGTTAAACATACCTAGTTCCCTTAGCAGTTCATCCTACAGTTTAACCTCCAGATCTCCTATCATTTTTGTTGTTCTTCTCTGACTCTTTCTAGGGCTTCAGCATTTTTTTTTTGTATCATGGTGACCAAAACTGGAAGCAGTATTCCAGGTGTGGTTTTGCTAGTACAGTGTAAATTGATATTATCACTTCTTGTGTTCTTGATACTATCCCTCTGTTGATACAGCCATGACTGCATTGGCTTAATTGGTTAACTGCATTGGTTAAACAACTAGCTGAACATAGAGTTAGTTCTAGTTCAATCTGGCCATATCTCAGTTCAAGACTGGATTTCAATTTAATATCAAGGAAACCATGTTATGAAGAAAAAGATAGACATTGAACCAAGATTCACAAACCCCACAGTAAAAGTAACTCTGGTTCATTATAATTCTTGGTGCCTGGGAGAATAGGGAGGAGGCCAATCCCAAGACGAAGGGACTGCAACAGTATTCATAAACAACCTTGGGAATACTCATTTCAAATAAGAAGCCTAATTGCTACTGTTTATGACACAATTAGCATATCAACAAGTTTAATCAGTGAAATACAGAACATGCATGAAGAAATCTATGATCCCTTAAGTAAGCCACCTTTTTTATTAAAGGTTTTTAAAACCTTTTCCCACTCATTTTCTTCATATAAGTAGAAGCATAAGTATCTTCTTGAAAAATTTTCTTGACAATGCCCAAATGTACAGTTTTTCCTCTCCATACAATACAGTACTATAAATAGTATCATATCTTGGATGAGAAGCGAAACATCTTCAAAGAAAAACCAGAAAGTCCAGTTGCCTCTTGGAAAATTACTTTTGGGACAACTATGTCCTGGATGACTGAAAATCTCCGTAGACATATCATTAATATACTATAAACAGAATCTTCAATTACAAATGTAACATATGATCCATACCCACTTTCAAATGCATACAAAGACAACATAATCAGAAACTAATTAAAATAGAGTTAAAAATTTCTTGGGAAGCTCAAGTCTCCAATATACAAGTTAAATGTCAAGTAATGTTTATATTAAATCATTCTGAGTTTAAACAGAGGTTGGAAAACTGATTTATTTATTATACATACACTATTATTGAATATTTATATACCATATCCAACAATATAAACTTGTTTTGGTAATTTGTTATCAGTCTCCTTTAATGTAATTTGTTACCTTGCAATCTCCTAGAGATGCTCTATTAATTGGAAATGAATCTTTAGAGTTCTTAAATCTGAAAGCAGAATACAGAATCTTCTATTCATTAAAATATTATAAATAGTGCCAGATTTATACTTGCGTTTCCTAAAATCCATTAGAGTCTAAAGAGTTATGGAAGTCTTTAAAGTACTTCATTTACTGACCAATTTCTTTTATAATTTTCCACCCATATCATATCAGATTTTGCTCAGTCTTATGATACTCATAAGGATAGCAAGAAAAATTGTGCTACAGTTTTTGAAGCCAAGATTGAAGGTATTGATTGTATATGTGGATTTTTTTTCTGAGAAGCGTTGTTCCATTTTGTTTCTTTCCTCTTCTCTCAAATATGTCTTTTTTAAAGTCCCCTATATATAACATATTATTAGCTTTTATTCCCTGTGGTTGATGTGGAAATATTCCCTGGCTGATAGATTTTCTATTTGGGAGACGCTCTGTAGGAAAAGCCATGCTTTTCTTCTAATCCTAAAATTTGTTGGATGATAAATTGAGGTAACAATCTCATATGACGCCTTTCATTATTACCTAATAGTCCCTCACTTACAATGGGTACTTGTAGAGGCTCCAAAACATCTACGTATTCTTTGGCAGTTCAGACTGATTTCTTAATCATATTCAAAACAGATCACAATCTCACTCCACCCTGAGATTTTACAGAACCTCAAAGTCACACATAGTTAAAGCAAATACACATTTTCTCCTTTAAAAAGGAGATAAGAAACAATGCTAGCAGAAATATGCATTTTAATGTTTATATACCAAATCAAGTCCCAAGAGACGAGTCTTTTAGCTTAGAGACAAACTTTCATCCCTAACATTCCCTTCGGTTTTTAGTAGGCAGCTGATATCATATCATTTTTGAAAATTATCAGTATCATTAGGTCAGTCATTTTTTATTATATAGTATCCTAAGCAGTAGGACCAAGTAGATTATTTTTCATGAAGAAATGAACTGACTATCTATCCCTGAACAACTGATAGCCATATCTTCACTTAATGAGTAACCCAGCCATTCTGTCTCATCCTAATTTACTTCACAGGGCTGCTGATAAAGTACATGTAACAGTAAAAAACGGACATATATTTGAATCATGAACTGAAACAGATTTTTACAATCAAAACAGCCATTCTTTTCAGCCTAGACATTCTATGCATCTGATTAATTTTAAAATGTGTCTGTCAGGAAAAATGTTATCAGATTCCTCCTGATTTTTTTGCCACCATAGACTAACGTAGTTATCTTCTGGAATTTTATATACAACTAAACGTGGTGATGAATTCAGGTCTGACAAACCAATAAGTAGTTCTAAAGAGTGACCTACCGTGTGAGGGTTGTCATAGTAGATAGCGATAGAAGACAGCCTTGGAGAGACGCTGCAGCTCTCTGTAAAAAACCTTCCGGAGTCACCATAAGGCCCCACCTGGAATTTGTATGCCACAGTGATGTTGCCAATGGGGGGCAAACCAGCATTCACAATTACTTCTGTAAACAGTCCCGAATAAACAGCAAAACCGAAGATCGTCAGCAATAGAAGCAGCACCAATGCCACAAACAGTCCAATTAGAAGCCAGTCCGACATGACTTCTGATATATCCAATGTTCAGTTATCAACTAATGACAAGAAATGAGACCAAAGATTACTGAATGCAGATCCTCGTTGCTTTTCTCAATGTGCTAGGATTTACAGTGAAACGGAAGAGTTAAAAGGAATTCCTTCTTCCGTTACCTACAATTCAATGTACTCTTTATGAAACCTGCTTTGCTTATGAAGCCTTCCATGGAATAGGACTAAGATAGTCCCTCTTTCTATATTTTTTTATTTAACCCATCTGATCTGGCAAGAAGGATATGTTCCTGATCCCACCAATTAAAGTATGCCATCTAGTGCAGAGGTTTCCAACCTTGGCAACCAGCTGGCTGAGGAACTCTGGGAATTGAAGTCCACAAGTCTTAAAGTTGCTAAGATTGGAGACCCCTGATCTAGTGGGACACAGGAAGATGCCTTCTCTGTTTCAGTATCTGTCTTTTGGAACCCCATTCCACCCATCCAAAATTAGATTGGACCAATCCTGCTGGCCTTTCTGAAGACTCTTAAGACTCCACTCTTCTCACAAGCATGGAGGTCAGAAGACAAAACTCATGAGGTGTTGCTACTTTGATGTGACAAGAACTGTTAATTCTTTGAGCAAGGAAATAATTAAAAGAATTAGTAAACAATAGACAAATCTGTACTCTATTTATAGCAATACACTGCTGTTGTGTTGTCTGTGAACATTAACATCTGAATTAGTTTTCTGTTTGCTTGTTTTGTGTATTTAACCGGGGCAAGGAAGAAAGTTTGAAATAATATGGTCAACATTTTTGGTATTGCTCTGTTTATAACATAATTTTCCAGTAATTTTTTCTTTTTTTCTTTTTATTAACATAATTGTTTTGAAATTATTACTGCTTCTTTAATATGAAACTCATTTTAACAAACATTTGTGGACAGCAATTGTCAGTTACTTCTAATTCTCTGTTAAATTCAAAACATATCATTGCAGCAATTTATATTATTTATTTAATGATGCCACTACACAAATGACAAATCCCTTTAGTTGCCATAAAATTAAGATTAAAATTAGCATAATTTTAGCAGCTAGGTAAGGAGTATTTCAGATACAACAGTTACCCATTGCTTCCAAAGTCCTTATTTGTAGGTCAGTTAAATCAAAGTTTAATTGAATTGTTTATTAGTATTATTATTTATATTTTTCAACTGCCAAGCAACCAATAAAGCAAATATTTCCTTGAAAAAATGTCAAAATAATATTATATTAAGTAAAAATGTGATGCTGTTCTTGTAGATTTGTACATAAATAGCTTCCAAACATACAGGACTCCTAATGAATTGAACATTTGTTATTATATATTCCTAATTTTCAAAATCTTCACGGTAAACCTCAGAAATATTATAACATCAAAAAATTACTTATAAGTTTCAAGACTTTGTTATAATTCCTAACAAACTGATTTGAAATAGCTAATTGTTAACATAAATAAAGTTACCAAGTGTTGTTTAATTGTTGCATCAGTGAGCCTTTAAATATGAATTTCTCTCTTGATTCAGCTCACCTCTGTTCTTCCCATTTCCCATTTTACATCAGGAGTTGGAACTCCCTTAAGCTTTTCTATCCCATTAGTGTACTATTGGGACAGGCAATACAATGCCCTCCAGATGTTTCAGATTTCATTAGCTCCAGCCAGTATTGCTGATAGGATTATAGGAATCGTCATCCAAAATACTTGGAGAACATTGGAATTCCAACTCTTGTAACTCCAATTTCAAAGAGTCAAACTACATATTAAATTGATAAGATGTATGGAACCCAACATTAGTGCCATTTCTTTACCTACCAAAATAATAATTCATGATGTGACAATCTGGATAGTGATACAGCATTGCAAAGGTATAAGATTTCTAATTCAAATCCTATCAACTCAGATATATATTGCAAATCATACCATTCTTCAACCTGTTTTTATCCCTGCAAGATTCCAAGTGTTATGTTTATAGTTTGGGGCACATAAGTGGAATCCTACAGAAAAGCAATTAGAGTGAGAGTTCGAAATAAATCAAACATACATGTTTCTTTCTCCAAACTGTCCTCTCCAAAGCAATCTTCCTAAAAAAAAAGAATGAAAAAGTAGTTACATTAACTTGCAAAATTCTAAAGTAAAGATTCTAAAACAGTAAAAAAAAAAGATTTATGTCACCCAGAACTTCAAATGCCAATTGAAATGTGTGTGCATAAAGATGTATAAACTTAACATTGATTTCATTTCTTCAGATTAACAGATTGCCTAACTCACTGTACATTGTTTGAGAGCATCTAACAACCAACACATTTAACTAACTCTAATATTTTCCCAATTTCATTTAAATGAATGGCATATTTTGCAGGCAGCAAAGGATTTGCATCTACATGAAAGCTGGCATGATTATTTGAGAGTGATTCGCACAATTGTTGGACAAATCATGAATATAGAAAAATGCCTGGGAAAAAAACCCTGCATGTAATGAATCAACCACTACCCGAAGGCCAAATAATTCATGAGGCAGCAATACACACAACTGACTTTTTATTGATGGATGACACCATGAATTAATCTATCTTTAAAGTACGTCTGGATAAAGTTATCACTCAATATAGTTCTTAGGCTCAAGAGAGGTATCAATACGATATTGAATCTCAAAGCAATCAGACATAATTGTGGCAAGATGGGTGGCAAATAAATATGATAAATAGATAGATAGATAGATAGATAGATAGATAGATAGATAGATAGATAGATAGATAGATAGAACGAACATTATTTCTTGAAGCTGACATTTGTCCACTGTTTCATTCTTTTTTCAGAAATTTCATAATTTAAGACAAACACTTCTTCAATAAACACATTGGTCTTACCTGAAGAATATCACAAGATCTTCTGATTCAATATTTGCTTTCTGGGGAAAAAAAAACAAAAGTTTATTGATATAGCCTGATTTCATAATTTCAAATTTTACATTAGAACATCACTGCTCTATAATATTTCACTGTTGTAAGCAAAAGATCCAGTAAGAATAGAAATCGAGAAGCATTCCTCCTATAAACGAATCTCTACCTGGGAGGATGGGAAGAAATCACATATGCTCATACCAAGAGAATAAAAATTATGCCTATGGGAGAGTTCCTGTTCACAGTGATGGGAAGAGGAGAGTTTAGAAAGGAAAGAGATTATAGTATATTCTTTCAAGCCATAATCTCAAATCACTGCTGATTCACCCAATGTGGATGAAACCAGAGGTATTCAAAAATAGCTCAGGTAAGCAAATGATGAAAGATATTGTAACAAAACACAAGACATGCTCCACCCTGTTTTGTTTGTGCATTGTGATATCACATGCATATACAAAAAGGGTGGAGCTTGCACAATGCTGCTTGCATCATTTTATTGAAAGAATCAAAACCTGTAAATTCCTCTGAATGGAATATGGTAGGTTGTTATCAAGGACAGGCATACTGGCTAAAACAAGTAGAGGTGAGTACAGTCTTAACTGTATCTTCCAAGTAAAAGCTACAACTTGGTAATGATAGGAACCTTCATCAGGAAGCAGCCCAAACCCAAAAGAATTCTATTTGGTTTCCCAGTAGATTTGATTATTATTTATTTAGGACACTTTTTATGCTATTCCATAAACAGTTTCTGGGCAGCTTCTGCTTCCCCTCCATAAAAACCTCCATAAAAATTTAGTCAGAGGCTATAGAACTTGAAAACATACAAAAATTCAACAAACAAATCTCAGTATACAGGGGAAAAAAAACTTTCTCTGGAAAGCCCTCTAGGATGGTAGTAAACAGGATTCTCTAGAAAGTGTTCAAAAACTGGTTGTTTCAACTTAAAAATATCTCTCCTTTGTAATTACTAGAGCTATTAGGTACTATTTTAAAGCTTCAAAAAAAATTTAAAAAGAGAAGTCCTTTGACACTGAGCATAAGCACATCTCCCTATTATTCATTAGTGTAGCCCATACTGTAAGGCACACTTGGGATAAACAGTGCAATTGCTTTAAATGTTGCACTAACTTTTGAAATCTGAAATTTTAAAAATTCAACTTTTGAGGCAGCAGGGTTGTTTTTTAGGGTCATACAGAAGCCCAGGGGTATGGAGGAAAGAACAGCTTTAACAGAGGTGTGTTCTGCTCATACAACCGTGATGCCAAACCTATGGCATGCGTGCCACAAGTGGCACATGGAGCCATATCAGTGGGCATGTGAGCTCAGCTCCGGCAGGCATGCGCATGCCAATCAGCTGATTTTTGGGCCTTCTGGGCCCACCAGAAGTAGGGAAACAGGCTGTTTCCAGCCTCCGGAGGGCCTCCAGACGGGTCGGGACGGCCGTTTTTGCCCTCCCCAGGCTCCTAGAGAGGCTCTGGAGCCTGGGGAGAGCAAAAAACGAGCCTACCAGGCCAACCGTGCCATCACGTGCCAGAAGCAGGGGGAGCATGGGGGGGCACGCACACATGTGTGGGGGACAGGGCGCTTATAAGTATGGCTGTAGGCACACACGCGCGACCACCCACCCTGTGCTCCCCCGTTTTTGGCACGCGATGGCAAAAAGGTTAGCCATCACTGTCATAGAAGGTCCAAATCATTGAAAACAGAATTGTTTTTAAAGTGGGAACATTCTAATAATTATCCACTTTACTTCAAAACAGAGAGCGACTCTGGAGCACAGCCTTTAAGGGACACATTACAATCTCCTAAACTGATGGAAGAAAGCATATTTCAAAGCAACCTGATTTAAGCCACATTGAACAGCTGACAAGCGACTGGCAAGCCTATGCCAATTGATAAGCTAGCAATTCTAATTTTGACGAATAGCAAATTCAACTATTTTAAAGAAGACTCCAAATACAAGACTTTACAATAACTGAAGCAAGAAAATATCGGAAAATCTAGGCAAGCGTGACCCAACAACTCATTCTACACCTACCAAATCTGGGCTGCAAAAATGCAGATGACTACCAAATGGCGGCACAGAATTAGAGCCTTCTCTATCTCTTTGTTGATACTCTAATGCAGGGGTGTCAAACTCAAGACGTCATGGTGGCATCACGTGACATATTGGGACTTTTTTTCCCTTTGCTAAACTGGATGTGGACATGGCCAGTGCGTGACGCATCCGGCCTTTGGGCCAGGAGTTTGACAGCCCTGATCTAATAATTATCTGGATTTGTAGCCCAGATCTAGATGCTCTACCTCAATTGGGCAAATGATTCAGCTGGAAAAAGTCCTTCAAGTGAACTACTGCCAGTGGCAGATCAATAAAAATGCTTGATTGAAAACCAAATCTTTTAGCAATAATGCTATCTTCCAAAGTGATATTCACTCTCACAAAGCATTTACAATCCACCCTTCCTCTCCTGTAACGTCAATGAAGACTCTGTGTAGGAGATAGAGTTGAGTTTCTTAAAGCCTTTCCCTATTCACCAATTTCTCCCGCAGTCATTTTTGAATGTTTTGTTCCCAATTAAGCTCCAAACCCATAAAATTCTAACTTTATTTAGAAAATTGGGTAGTATTATTTATATGTGCCTATTTGTTCATACAGCTTTCAAAGCAGCCTAAAGCAATAAATTTTTAAAATGTAAGATTTTAAAAAAATTAAGAACTGATTAATTCCGTAATGTTTACCATTCCCACAAAACCAACCATGGCATTCTATATCCAGGGCCAAGAAAGAACACTTGTACCCAGAAGGCAGGTTCCTAAGTATGGACACATTCCAAACCAGGGAGGAAAAATAAATCAGATGCACATTCAAACAGGTATAGAGGTATCTACCTTTCCTGAATTGCCTTCAGTGAATTTGGATACCTCTGCAAATTTGAATCCCATTGCATATCTAAACAGCAAATGGGGGCAGGCATATATAAAAACACAACCAATTTAAACCAATGGTTCCAGACTCAGAAATAGTAAAAAAGTTGTCCATGCAAAGATCTCCTATATAAAAACATAGGCTAGTAAGATTAAAATGAGAAGTAATGTCCACTCTTCCCTGTTCTTTTGTTTTCATTCCTGGAAAATCCAGGCCACACATAAGCACAAGATGACTTTATATCTCTATAATCCAGCATCCTGTTTATCCCATTGCAAGTGGCTTATTACATGAGTCTAGGATACCCAGAAGCAAGACATTAAAAAAAATGCTAAAGGAAGTACTGGAAATTGCATATTTTTTCCCTTAAGTTAGCTGTATTTATATTGTAATTACAAGTACATCAGCCCATATTATAAGATTACATTTAAAGGTTACACCTGAGTATGTTTAATTAGGAGTATGCATGATTAAACTCGAGGTTATTTCTGGGTAAACACGATCTATATAACACAGTCAAGTTTTGCATTTAAGTGGTGGCTTCAAACATTCAAAAACGTCTAAAATGGGAAACAGTTAAGTATAGAGCTATACTCTGGGGATCATTTAATATCTTTATAAGTGACAAGAATAGCACTGGCTTCAAATTTGTTCCCTAGATCTTACCAAAGTAAAATGGCACTACTGCCCCACATAGCATACTTCCAATATTATTATTCTTTGCACAGTTGCCCAAGCTGTGTTTGCTGACTTCATCTGGCCTCAGAAGTTTGGTAGAGTCAGATCACGTTAACTAGACGGGAAGCTACCAGGAAATATCACTACTATTGGCCAGATTGGAAAGTTAAAAACATCCTAGATGTAGGCAATCTAGGATGCCTCCATATTATTCTGAAGAAAACAATATGAATTGTTAATTAAGATACTAGGGGTGGAGCCCAATTTGAAAGTAATTTAATTTTACTGTCATAGACAATAATGTCATAGATACCATGCCATAAATCATCCATTGGAATATCAGGAATTGCTGCTTCGCCTATCCTGCTCTTCTGAACTTAACAGTGTCTTCTCCCTTTTAACCAACTAAATCTACCTAGGGATGAAGAGAGACAGTTACTTCTTAAACAGCAAAGCAAATAGCCGCGTTTCTCTAATTTACATTGAAGTTATACCTTTCAAGAATTCAAAATTATTTCAAACATGTAAGATTTCAAAAAAATATTTGAGCAAGAGACAGCAAGGAACTGTTTATGTGGGACAAGTTTCGGCTCCCATTTCTCTATTCACAATATAGGGGAGAACATTAAGCCCTTCTTTGGGCTCTGGGCAATGCCACCTGACTTAATTAGGATAAGTGCAGAAACATATTCTCAGGGTATTTGGGACAAGATCCTACTCGGGTTTGCATTTTACACAAAATATTTAAATTACCTCAGTCAATACCTGTTTTGAGAAATGATGCACCATTTAAACATGGCAAAAGGATATACAATACAACCATTTGTTTAGTAACTTAGAGTTACAAAGGACCTGAAAAAAGTGACTTATGTTTTTCACATTTATTACCACTGTAGCATCACCATTCTCACGTGATCAAAATTCAGATGCTTGGCAACTGGCATGTATTTATGACAGTTGCAGTGTCCCAGAGTCATGTGATCAACTTTGTGACCTTCTGACAAGCAAAATCAGAGGAAGCCAGATTCACTTAACAATCATGTCACTAGAATGGAATAGGAATAAAATTTTTATTGGCCAAGTGTGATTGGACACACAAGAAATTTGTCTTGGTGCATACGCTCTCAGTGTACATAAAAGGAAAGATACATTTGTCCAAGAATCATAAGGTACAACACTTAATGATAATCATAGAGAACAAATAAGCCATCAAATCGTATTAGGAAACAGTCAATATAAATCGTAAGGATACAAGCAACAAAGTTACAGTCATACAGTCATTAGTGGAAGGAGATGGGTGATAGGGACGATGAGATTAATAGTAATGCAGATTTAGTAAATAGTTTGACTAACTAAATAACTGCAGTGATTCACTTAACAACTGTGGCAAGAAAGGTCATAAAATGGGAAAATTAATTTCACAACTGTCTTGTTTACCAATGGAAATTTTGGGCTCAATTGTGATTGTAAGACAAGGACTACCTGGATCTAAGCTTGTTTGGTGGTGGGTGGGGGGAATCATAAACTAAATTTAAGGCCTTACAGGATGCAAAGAAAAAAAGGAGGATTAGGACATGACCTGAGATTTGGATGGCATGGTTACCTAGTACGACAAAATCAATGTAAATTATTTCAAAAATAATTATATTAGATATGTCATACTGAGAATATGAAATAGATGCAAATCCAGGTTATGCCTCAAAACACTTTTGTGGTTTTCAGCACAAAAAGTATTTTATACATGAGAAATAATAGGCAATCACAAATAGCTAACTTATTATATTAGAATTTTGTCAAGGGAAATGTAAAATAAAATTAAGAGAACTGGTGGCAGAGAAATATAGTTATCAATTATTCTTTTATTTGTATACAGTTATTAGAAAGATTTAAAGTAGATTAAAAAATAGTTTTAAGCACTGTAAGACTGAGTTTGAAATGAAATAGTGTACAAATTATGAACATGTAATTGCTAAAAGGTATTAAATTTTATTGAAATTTGAAGCAGAAGAACAAGTGAAAGAATGTATGATAAAATGAGGACCCAGATTGTTGGGGGCAATATGCTATTTAGTATACTGTCTTTGGTGTAAGCCGCCCAGAGTCCTCGGAGACTGGGCGGCATAGAAATATGAATAATAAATAAATAAAATGGGCTAAAATTTGTTATAATATACAGAGAAAATATATAGTTGAAAGGATTGAAATTTGTATTATGTTATAATCTTAAAGATAATGTTTATACAATGATGTATGGTTGGTACATGAAATGTACCAGAAAAAATGTCTGAAATGTATAAAGGTACTTCAAATTTATCCTGAACATATGAACTACAGGGACACTTTATCATGTTAGATAGACATCTAAAAAAGCAAGAAAATTTTGAATTCCAATACATATATTGATTCAGAGGATTTTTAAGTTTTATGTAAAATTGAAACCAGAGGTCTTTCTTTTGGAACTGATGGATAAAAAAATTGGAAAAAAGTTATGGAACTTTGATTTTGTATAGGATTATTGCAGCAGATTATTGCATGCACAAAAATGGAAAGAATCAGCATTATTTAAAATTGGAAATCTTTACAATTGGTAAAGATGATGGATGGATGAGATGGATGAGATGGCCAAATTGATTTATTTGATTAGAGAAAAGACAATCATCTACATTTATTGCTGGAAACCCTTATGGACTTTTTGCAGAAAACAGAAAAAAATGAACATGATTTTGACTATTAGGCAGGATATAGAAAGAAGAGAGACATGTTGTAACTTTAGAGAAAGAGAAAATTTATAATTGTACAGTATTTATAACTGGTGTAAATAAGGTAGTAAGCCACTTCTTTTCCTGCCGTGACAAGAATGGCAGGATGCCATTTCACACAATTAAGTATATAAAAATAGGTAAAATACTAGTTTTTTTAAATTATAGTTCTAATTCCAGTGTGATATATTATACAAATTGCCTTTCATTAAATAATATAAAGTTTGTACTATGGTAACTCCCATGTGTATTTATTCTTCCAGTGTTTATTTTTAATTCTTAAACCTGGGAAGCGAAAATCAGAGGCACAGAGGATAATCTCTAAACGTACTATCTTCCACATATACCAAGAGGAAAAATCTTACTTTATGAAAAAAATGAAACAGACAAAATTATTACAACATGGAAGTGTTGCTTTTCTTGGCTACTTGAAAATGAAAATTACAAAACCATGTTCATCTTTTTTCTCTTCAATGAGCTGTTTTGTCTCTCCCAAAACAGTCTGTTTATTTTACCAACATTCTACTTCCTGGTTCATGTGTACCGGCTTGATGAGATCATCATGCTCGTGCACAGTTTCCAAGGCCAGAATCTACATTTACAATTACTCCTTAAAGAACTAGGGCTGCTTTTAATGAAACCTCTGAAATATGCTTTCTTTACCAGCAATTTCACTAACAGGTGAACACATTATTTTGGAAAAATAGAAAAATCAAATATCTGGTATTTGCAGAGACTTGCGTGAAAAGAGAGGGGTTTTTTTCTTTTTTATTCTGTTTGTAATGTTCCCAATGCTCAGTGTAATCATATATTTCTGTCACGGCAACTGCTGGTAAAGACAACTACCAGAATGGAATGAATCTTTGGGTCAAGTCCAAAATATGATCCAAACAGCAAGTCTGGTTAAAAGCCAGTTCAGTAGCTGTCACTCACTTGTCTTTCCTATCCAAACATTTTTCCATCCAAGCGTAATCTATGATTTTAAATGCAGTTACAATCATATTCCTAAAGCCATAAACTACTAAACCACAG